CTCCAGTTTCAGGATTTTCAATTCGTGGAGGCGGATGTCGTTTGGGATAAACAGGTTCAATGACTGTTTCACCTGTTTCTTCATTTACATTTTTTTTCTTTGAAATTGGAATTCGAATCGGTCTAATTTTCCAATACTCTGAATTTTCCTTATATTCTTCCTGAGATTGAATATATCTTCGACATCTTATTAAAAGCTTCATCGTATAGTTACTCAAAATTGCTAATAAAATTAATGTAATGACTCCTGCTAACAGCCCAGATTGTTTCAGGGCCCACGGTAACGCAAAAGATCCAGCACCTGAAATATTGGAAAATATCAATAAATTAATATTGTCACGAAATCACAATAATGTTTTTGAAAAAAATGATTCTCTAAAATGACATACCAGCAAATGTTTTTGTAATATTCAAAAAAGCAGATACTGCATTTGTCTTGGAAGGTAATTGCTTTTTAATATGCACTTCATGTTCGTTCACTTTATCTCCTCCGTTGTTTTCATCGTTATGATGATGATTTATTGAACCACTTTCCATCAACAGAGATGCTCCTTCTTCGGTTGCATTATGTCCACTTTCACCATCATAATATTCTCGGTTATTCAATCCGTTTACTAAATAGCCATCTTCAGCAGTTCCTCGGAATGAATTAAATCTCAAATCCATGCCACCATCGTCGTGATAGGATGAAGAGCCATTGAATGTTGAATGAAAAGAGGGATCTAGTGATGACATTTTTTTTGGAGTGGTGTTTAGCTACTGGAGGCGAAGGTATGCAGGAGTGCTCAACCGGAGTTTGAAGCTCGACTCCGAGAAAAAGTCTGAGAGCAAAAAAGAAATCTTTGAGCAAGAATGGTCCAGTTTTAAGGCTGCTGAAACCAGGATATGTTGGACTAGGTTGTCAACAGAGTCGACTCGATTTTTTCCTGAAATAGAAATTTTTTGGCAAATTCAAAAAAAACATCTGCATGATTGCCTGCAATATTGTTCGTTGAATTACTCGGTCTTTCACTTTTTACACACCACCAACAACCATCATTTCTTACTGGACCACCTTGTCCTTGCGTCCCTCATCTAACAAATACCAAAAACTGACATTTGACGCGGCATCACATCTACTTTTTAAAAAAACAATCCACATTCCGCTTTTCAACCTACCATACAACAACAGCTCGTTTAAAAACATCATTCGTCTCGTTTAAAAACATCATCATAACGTCTGATTTTTATTTCAAACTCCCAATAACATACAACCACTACCTACTACTAACTGTGAGACAATGAAAGACGAACGTTTGAGTGTTTTAGACATCATCAATACATTTGAAAGTACGAAACGGTTGAGTGTGAGTGGCATCAATGGAATGTTCGATACAAATACCATGCACTCACATTCTCTATTTCAACTACATGATGAGGAAGATGATGACGAGTTATTGAAAAAGTCACCAGCTTGCGACTCATCAGATGAAGATGATGACACCGCAGCAGATATTAAGAGAATTTCTGCAAATATCACATCAATCGTTAATTTTTCGAGTCCAACAGAATCAAAATCACTGGAAGAGGAAAATGGAAAGTGTGAAAAATCGTTATTTAACATTGCTGACCTGGCATTTGAACTGCATAATACCATAACTGATGAGAAACAAATGTTGGAAACGATACAAAAAGCAGAAACGTTATCAGATCATCCTCTCGATTTCACCAAAGATTTATTGGATCCTAAAAGAAATGCTCACTTCTTCATACAGCTGCAAAATTAGATTTTCTCACGGTTATGCAATATTTATTGGATAAACAACCTTGCTTGCTAGAATCAAAAGATAGAGCTGAAGCAACTCCAATATTCTATGCTTGTTCGAGTGCTCATAGCAAGAGCGTGACAATGTTGGCCATTAATGGAGCAAATTTGAATATTCATGACAAGTATGAAGCATCGCCACTCAGCGTCTCTCTCAACTCCAAGAACAAATCCAAAGGATTTTCTGTTGCACGAGTACTGCTGGATTTCATGTGGATGTAGAATATAAGGTGTATTGTGGAAACAGCATACTTCATTTAGCTTGTCGAGAAGGTGATTTGGAAAAAGTTCAATTCATTGTTGAAGATTTGAAACATAATATTTTCAGAAGAAATACCAAACAAGAATCGTGTTTGTTTAGAGCAGTAAGACACCCTCATGTGACTAAATATTTATTAGAATATTGTAATAATCATATTGGACATGAAAAACTTCTGAAATTACTTTTCATGAAAAATGATAAGGGACAAACAGTGATTCATCATATATGTTCAAAAGGATACCTAGAAAGTCTGATACACATTATTTCAATATTGTCTCACGACGTAGAAAAAATTGAACAATTATTTAACGAGAAGGATTCAGCTTATGGATTAACTCCTTTACACATTTCAGTACTTTCAGAACAAGAAGGTACATTTGAATTTCTCATTCGATCTAAAGAAGTTCAATTAGATATACAAAATAAGATTGGTGACACAGCACTTCATATTGCAGTTCGCAATGAAAATCTGCCCATGATCAAAGAGCTCTATCACTTGTACAGTTCAAAAAGTCTTCAACTCAAAAATGCTCAGAAAAAGACCATTGAAAAACTGGCAAAAGAGAGAAATATTGACTTGAAGAAGATGGAAAAAGAGCTTGAGCAAGATAATGCAGGCATTCAAAAGGAAAGCTTTTGGAGCTCATTGTTTGGAAAGAAAAAAAAAGAGAAGAGTCATAGAAACACTATGAGTTTTAGCTCACAATCAGCAACAGAGCTTCAATCAAGAATGTCCACCGTTTCTAGGAGAAATTCTCTGTTAGTTGCGGTCTCTTGGGATCCTCAAAAGTACGCTGTTGGCTACGAACAAATTGATTCCCAGCATATGCAACTAATTGAATGGTTAAAGAATTTGAGTGAAGCTTCTCTCACAAAACAATCACATTGGGTTGTTGGTTACACTATTGGTTGTTTATTGGAGTATACAGGTGTGTATTTGTTGTTTTATGACTTGTGTGATTAACAATATACAGAATTTCACTTTGAGGATGAAGAATTGTTAATGATGAAGTATAGAAAAGGAATTGGTGAGTATTTGTTGTTTGTGACCTGACATGAATAACTAAAAAATTAAGGTGAGGACTATGTTAAAAAGCATCTAGAAGAGCATGAGACTTTCACTACGAAAATTCGAAACATGCAACGTGAATATGTGAAAAATCACAGTACAAGTTTGGATATTGAACTGCTGAACTACTTAATTGGTTGGCTCGTCAAACATATCAATTTTACAGACAGGAAACTTGCTGACTTTGTAAACAACCATCCTCCAGATGAAGAGAAATAGACAGGTGTTTCCCAGGACTTGAGAAACAACTCACGAATGAACATGTTGATTCTGCTGTCTTTCACCAAGAGCCGTTAAGCCCGCCAACTTGCAAAATTTGATTAAAAAAAATAAAAAATGGGCAACTCTGGGACCAAAGAAACAGCCTCTCCTTCTCCTTCTCGATCATCAAAAGGAAGAAGCTCCTTTGCTAATACAAGCCCCAAAGCATCAACTCCTTCAAAAGAAATTGTAAGCTTGCCAAAGAGGATTTCTAGTCATCAATCAAACACGACGACACCTCTCGGATCAACTAAGAGAAAATATGAAGAAGTTCAGGTGATAACAGCCATTCATGCCAGTCAGGACACAGAACGTGACGATGACGAAGAAGAATCGACCAATATTCAAAATGTTGTACAAGAAAGTAAAAAAGTGAAAAGAGAATCAATAACAAATAATTCCGATCATGCATCAAGTACTGCAACAGCTCCAGCAACCGTGATTACATTCAGCGGATTTAAGAACACCAATGACAAATTTAGCAAAAATGTCAAGAAAATGTTAACAGATGAAGCAATTAAGAACAATGTGATTGTGAAAGAAGAATCAATCGATGACCGAGGTAAGTTTTTAGTTCAAAATAAGGATGTGAATTACTGAGCTGAATTGTGGTATAGATACTCTTTCTAATGACATCACTCACATCATTGGTAAGTTAACACTTATTCATTGTATTAATTTGACATACTAAATACATAACAGCTCCACCATATGCTAGGACAATGAAAGTTTTACAGGCGATTGCCACAGGTCGCTGGATCATGTCAACCAAATGGATTACAGAAGGAAAATGCAGTTTACATAATTTGCACTTATTTGGCGTTAGAAGATTAGACAGGCCAATTAGTGGAAAGAAAGTTTTTTTACATGAAACCTTTTTAAAACAACATCCCACAAAAACTCTAACTTATAAACACTGTCAAATGCTTGTCGAATTTGGAAGTGGAGATTTTACTGACAAGATTGAAGAGGCTGATTTTTGCATTGTTGGGGGTGATGAAAATTCTGCTGATGATAAACTTGTAGAAGAAAAGGAACGTATTACACAACTTTATCCTTATATGATGGTTTTGGAATGGGTAGAACTTGTGGATTTGATTTATCCTTTTTATCTTGAACAAGCTCTTAGAAAAATGGAGAAGTAAACAATGAATTATTTGCTCAAGCATTAGTGATCTTGTGAATGTACGTCTCAGAGCCTTCTTCATCAAATCTTTCAAATTTTTTCACAAGTGTCTCACTTTTATTTCGAAAAGAAGTGCTTTTGTCGCAAATCGAGCGAATAAAAAATTGCCGAGATTCTTCTCGTTCTTCACCATCAAGCCTTCTGCCAACTCACCTCGGTGCATGAAACGAACACAAGAAAACACAATGAGCGGAACACCTTCAAAGACCGTAAAATTTTCAGAAGATACCAAGGAGTCCCCAGAGATTACTCCTTCTGTTGCTTTCCCGCACATGATTATTCATGCGTATGTTTTAAGCCCAGTTTGTTTTTTTAATATTCATCAACTTTAAATATTCGGACATTACGAAACCAATCATTGAATAGTTGGCATGATCTGGATGTAGGATCATCAGAACTTTTCAATGCCCTTATTGGTAAGTTTTGGCTCTGATGATTTTATTTGTTGATTATTCCGTTATTGGCAGAAATTCCAAAGGGAAGCAAAATCAAGTATCAATACGATACCAAGTACGGTTTATTGAAGGTGAGCCACATCCTCTCTAGTTCGTAAGTAGTAGTATTAACAGAATTTAGAAATGACCTTTGATCCACTCATCTTCTGGACTCTTCCTGTTGAATACGTTTGCTTCTCAATTATTTCATCATCAATTATTATTACAACATCATCAATTATTATTACAACATCATCATAACCGTACTATGAAATTTTGCCTTGCTCTAATTCTGACTTCACACAAAATCATCATATTTGTTGAATTATTCGGCGTTGCTGCCATTTTTCGCTGTAATCACAATAGATTGACCTATCCTGCTAACTATGGCTTCATTCCACAAACATTCGGTGAGGACAAGGACCCAATTGATGTATTAGTGTTGATGCAAAGTGCTTGCCATCCAATGAGCATTGTTCGTTGTCATCCTATTGGAGTCATGCCATTAATTGACAATGGAGTCATGGAGTACAAAGTTATTGGTAAGTTCACATCCATGCTGAAAATTGGAGTTTATTGAATTTTATTCTCCACAGCTGTTCATGCTGATGACCCTGAGTACCGTGGAATTAACGAATTGAGTCAACTCAGACCACACATCTTGAACGAAATTAAAATCTTTTATGAGGACTATAAGAAATTGGACAAGAACACCCAAACTGTCGTTGTAAAAGACTTTTTACCAAGATCTGAGGCAATGAAAATTATTGAGCAAGGAATTGAGGGTTACAAACAATATATCAGAGAGCAAAAGAAGTCGTTGACTTGTACAAGATATGGTTCATATCAAAACTTGTTTAAGAAAGGATTGAATCTTAGCGATATGGATGATGAAGACGATGAATAAATAAGCATGATGGTGACATTTTGAAGTTGTTCATGGCCACAATGTTAAATAATACAGCTTGTTGCACGCAGTCTCGAACACCAAAGGTCTCCAAAAGACCACGCAAAGCCTCCCGTTTTGTTAATCCGATTTGGTCATGATGAAATTCATGGCATCGCACGTTGAAGGTCTCTAAATCAATTACTCCATCACCAATTTAAATAATAATTAAAATAAATTAAATTTATTGATTGTTGCAAGGATTTTTTAACGTTTTAAATTTATCAGCAAAAACTGCAAATCCTTTTCCCGCATTATTTATAAACGAATAAACACAATCTAAACTTTCACGCAGTGCTTGAATTTGCTGTTTCATCTCTGCATTTTCTTTTCGCAACCTCTCAAGCTCATATGCAATCACATCGTTGTTCAAGTTCGGTATCGGAGGAGGAGACGATGGTTGTTGTTCAAACATCTCTTCAATTTCCGCAAAATCATCAGTAATATCTACAGTGCTTGATGATGATTGGGATCTAATGTTGTTAATTGAAAGACAATGAAGACATCAACATACTTACACTGCAAAACTTTGGACATCATCGCAAGATATTTCGCTAATTTTTCGTTTGGGAGGTTGATTGTTGCATTTGGGTTGAATGTGATCTTTGATTTGTCCTACAATCGCGAAAGGAATTGGGGACCGTTTAGACCGGTAGTTTCTTGTGCTGCTTTGGCTACGTGTGTCCATTTTGAATTGGAAGATGGTTTCAAGGATGCATCATTTTTGAACTGCGTCTTCTCTTGTTTTTTCTTTCATTCTCTTCTCGCTGAGCTGTTGCTGCTTCCTTTTTGCGTTTTTTTTTGACTGAACAGTCCTCTTTAGTACAACTTCCATCGCAGGGCGGGTTTGTACACTTTGCTCGGTTGTGGCCTTTCTGATGGCATCCGCTGCAATAGCAAGAATAGGAATTGTTAGTTGTGTTAGGTGTAGAGGGAGTAAAATTATAAACAAACGTAGATTGTTGAGAATTTGAAAAAGGTGGTACTTGAGAATTGTTCATTGGTGTATTACTGGTGTTGCTTTGCGTAAATGTTGTTGATTGTTTTGAGGTGTGTTTGTTGGATATATAATTTGATTGTCAATGGCTGGATAAACATTCAAACCACCAAAGTCAGTAACAAATGCTACTTGTGATTGAGTGGCCATTTTTTTTTAGATTTTATTAAATTTTGATTTTTAGTTTAACGGTTGTTTATGGCGCCACTTTGTGAAAAATTCACATGACAACACACGAAAGTAGAAGCAAACCAAGGAAGCGAGTTGTGGTTGGTTACTACCACAGCAAGAAGGTAATGGTGGCAGGCCTGAAAATATTCTCTTTCAGACAGGTTGCAAAAGCTTGGGATGCTCACCAAGCACTGTGTTTTATTGGAAAAACAGAATTGAAGAAAACGTGCAAGCTAATGTTGGTGGTGTTCGTCAATTCAAGTATGATTTAAAGGACGTGGTAAAGGCAGTACTTATTGTGAACAAAGTGTCAATGGTAAAACCATTGTCTACACTGGATGAATATGTAAATGAATTACAAAAACATGGTTACGATTACAGCACCACATGGGTGAGTCGAGTGTTGAAGCAACTAGGTAATTCTTTCAAGAATGCTTGTTATAAGAGCAGATTGAAATATACACCAGAAAACATCACAAAGTACATCCATTACGTTTGTGGTATGGCAGAGCTTCTTGAAAAAGTGCCGGTGTATCGTCTGAAATTCCTTGATGAAAGTAGTTTCGTGAGCAGAAATTTGTATCGGAAAAGAGGAGTTGCTCCTATTGGTTGTAGATTGATAGTTGTGAACAACACAAAGCATTAGATTATTCGTGTAGTCGTTGCTTGTTTTGTTGTAGTTTTCTTGCCATGTCTCGTTTTGTGATGGTCTCTTCTCTCTTGTTTTGTAATTCTCTGCTTCACATCTCACGTTTTGTCAGTAAAATGGCCCGCGCTTCTTGTTTGTGATGTCTCTTCTCTGCACATGCTTGTTTGTGAGTTTCACAGGTCACAGTTCTGTTTTTGTGCTCGTAATGTTGGCGCTGTCAACATTTATATTTCTTACATGCTCGTCATTACTTTTTCTGTGCACGTCAAACGAAAAATTTCCTTTGCTAGAGGCTTGTGTGGTCTTTTGGAGACCTTGGTGTTCGAGACTGCGTGCAACAAGCTGTAGTTTATGGCATTTTAAAGCGGGCCCGTGTCACATGCCAAAAACTTGAGAGATTGCAATCATGTCGCTAGGGTGGCCGCTTCCATGTCCTCGTGGTTCACTTTCTAATGGTCAGCTTACCTAAATTGCTGGATTGTTCGAATGTTAAATCAAATTTTAAGGCCAAGTCCCATTCAACTCAAACCAACGCCGGGCCTCTTTTCTTCTGAATCTTCTTTTCATATCGCTCAAGCTCCAATGATGGTAAGTGAAGAAATTATTTCTGGTGAAACTCATGAATCGAAATTTCGGCGTAATTTTGATGAAAGGTATGAATCACTATTAAAGGTGGAGCCACATCTCGAACGACAAGCGTTGTTAACGACAAGATAATTCGCAACGATTTGAGTGTACCTTGTCTGTGTAATAATTTGGACTGGCCATCGTTTGTGCGCTTCAAAACCCTTAAGATGGCTAGAAATGCGTTTGCGCTTTGATTGTTTCTAACAGGCATTTGACACATGTGCGCACTATTGACATAACTTGAACAAATCGGTCCAAGAACCAACAACGCCAAACATTCAAATAGCACAAATCTAACCCACCAACAGTCGTTCGGTGTCTTGTTTTGATCCATGACCACACAATGATGGTCTGGACACACCTAACAAACATCACAACTTGTTGATTGATAGCTAAACACAATTGCGCACCGTCATCTTGTGGATTTTAGAAGAAAAAAACACAATACTTGCATTGCTTGACCTCTCAAAAAAAAGTGTCGTATTGTTGACCAACAGATCCTTTCCATTGACAAGTGGCACTTCCTTTTCGCCAGTAGTACGCAATCGAGAAACTCACTCCTATTAATACCTGCATAGTCCTCTTCACTCAACTACTATAGTCCTCATCGCTCTTGGCCAGCAGCAGATAGCCAGCCATACCATTCCAAGAATTGTCAAAGAAAAATTGACAATTACATTCACCCGTCCCACCACTCTCCCGTCCTCTTGACCACACAGCCTTTGTATTCACAAGTGCGCACTTGTGAAATTTCAACACGTGCCAATAGTACCGCAACTATCATCATCATTAACATTACTACTCTGGGCGTTCTATCCCTAGTAATCATATTGATTGACGTAATAATTTCCATACTACGTCAATTCCAATTTAACAATTGCCTAAAACAAGATTAATGATAACGTTGAAAGATTCAACAACGCCATCCACATCAGCTCCTGTTGCCGTAGTTGTTAATAATTGTGTTTACACACCATCACACTATCAATTTCTTGCTCAATTCAAAGAAGAAAGCAGCTATTCCCCAGTGTCATTTCTTCCTAATCCTTGCGCCATGCTTCCATCGAATCAAGATGCAACTGTGACTTCAACAACGGCATCCCGAGAAGATTTTGGCGAATACCAACCTTCGTTGCATATTCCTTATTCATTTATGGCACCAATGTCCTCATCAGGAGAAAATGCCACCATCGATATCGAATCAGAGATAGTCACAACAAACCAACCATCTACCTCCATGAACAATAACCACCATCTATATATTGACAACAACCAACCTAATTTTGAAGAGACAAACATCTTTCATGATTTTACATCTACAACAACAACAACAACGCTACGAAATCGACAACAAAATCATGTGGACATGCAATCACCTCAATCATTCCATCATTCTGACATTAATCGCGTAGCGACAAACACATTTCAAAAAGTGCCTCCACAACCACCGGATCAACAACAGCAGCAACAACCACCACCACAAACCATGGACTTGTCTAACTTGTCCATCTTGTATCCCTTATCTGGTGTGGATGGTCTTCTTCCTGTTGATCATGATCATGTGGATCATTTGATTTCCTTTTTAAAGGGAGATGGGTTCAATCCAAACAACACCATGGATGGTCGTATGACCAACAACAACAACATGGAATTACTTGTTCAAGCAAACATGAGCAGCACGAATGATCATTCTAAAATGTCGTTCAAGAACATGTTGGTTGGCGGTCATGAAGCTACTACATGTAACATCGACACGACATCATCCTACATGCATGATACATGCATCAACAATGAGCAGCAACAACAACAACCAACTCCGCTCGTGCAGGATAACAACAATGCGTTTACGCCTCATTTTGCTTTCAGGAAACGAAAGAACACGAAACGAAAAAGCATCTCATCTTCACCATCATCCTCTACTTCGAACTCTTTGGATGAGGATCCACAACATGTGCAGCATGCCGATCTCATTCTTGACGATGAGGATATTTCCAATGACCAATTCGCTTCTGATCTGCAAGATCAAGACGACCATTCTCATTCTCCAACAAGTATTCGCAACAAATCATCAACAGGCAGTACTCACAACACGATTGGAGCTAAAGCTTATCCAAATGGGAGAAAACGAGCGAGCAAAGCATGTTTGGAATGTCAAAAAAGACACACCCGATGTGGATTTGAAAGACCATGCGATCGGTGTACCAAGCTGGGATTGAATTGTGTGGAAGTAGTTTCCACAAAGAAGAGAGGAAGATCCACGGCCAACATGAACAACAAGAACAAGTTGAGTGAGGAAACATTGGATCTTGCTCCATCTCGAAAAAAGGAAAAGACATCTTCCAGAGCACCAAATCAAACTGCTTCACCAAGTTCAAATGAAAGTAATATTGAGAATGTTAACAATGCTAGTGGTAGTAGCATCATTGAGAAGCAATCCGAATCGAGCAATCCAAATGAAGCATCTTCATCTAGTATTCCAAATGGGTCAGAGCAACTTCTTCTCAAACCAATTCAAAATCTTCAAGCTCTTCATCATTGACAGGAATTCATCAAGCTGAAACCATGAATACCACCACGACGACAGCCTCAAGAACTACCTCTCCAACGACTGCTCAAGCACATTCCATGCCACAACCTCATCATCAAAAGCCTCCTCAACAACAACAACAACACAAATTACTTCCTCGGGTATCATCCTCTTCGTCCTTTGGAACGCTGCTGCACCCAATTCCTTCCAATGTATCCTCTATTTCTTCATCATCGACCACCTCCTCTCATTCCCCAATTAATTATTTGAACAACAATGCATCAGTAACAGCAGCATCGAGCTATGCTTCTCAACAGCCATATTCCAGCAATGCTCTGACTCAACTTCAATTTCCAACTCTTCCTTCAGCAAGTTATGAACAAACAGGATTCATCATGACTGGACCGAATTTCCCCAATATTAGGTGTGTGAGCGAAGGCTTATTGAGTCGATTGGGCTATCAAACGAGTTCTCAACTGACATCTCTCACTCAAATTTTCAGTTTGGATTTTGTCAATTCCGAACTCATTCAACTCCATCAAGATATTAAGGCTAGAGCCACAATTCTTCAACAAGTGCAAGGAGGTGCTGATTTACTCCGGCAAGGTCATTTGAGAATTCAAAAAGAAGGCATAACCAATGTGAGAACGATTATGGGAATGGAGCAATTGAAATTTAAAATGTTCCACTCGTTCCGAGAGGATCAACCAGCCTCGTTGGAAGCAGTCTATGTATTTTTGTTTTGGCATTAATATGGGCCATAAAAGTAATTTTGTAAAACAACAATTGCAAAGTTCGAGCCTTTCGAGTTTTAGTTGGAAAAAAAATGTATCGAAGGAACAAACAAGCTAAAAAATATGTTCCACCAAAGGAGATGACTCCATTGACCGACCAAGCTGGTGTCGATGCTTTGGAATTGTTTTTATTGGATCGGCAACAACAATCATTGTCGGGTACGAGTTCAACAACACTTTCCAATGATGAAGTCCATGTGAATGATGATACCACAGCTACAAAAATTCCGAAACGAATGGAATCTTCCAATCATCATCATCATTGCAACAAGAAAAATATGAATGAATTTTTAGATCAAATCAAAGAAACTGAAGATGAACAGTTGATGAAACAAGTGATGGATAAATTTGAAAAATTAAAATGTGGTTATGATGAAAGACCTGCTTCGCTTTCAAGCTCATTAAATTCTCAAATCGAGCAAGAGATTTTTGAAAAGAAGATGCTACTCAAGAAAAAGTTGCAGGATCGAGTTTTTCGTGTCAGTGTTGGAGGACAAGTGTTTCACATCCCTTCCAGCATTCTCTCATTTGGTATAGACTTGGAAAATTTTGAAGGAAGCGATCGAGATTTATTGACGACACTCTGTGAACAGGAATTGAATTCCATGGATCAAGGAGAAGAGGATAATCATTTCATCATTGAAAAGGAGAATGGATGTATCAAAATTCAAAGAGACCCTACTTATTTTCCATTCATCTTGGCATATTTGCGATTGAGAAGAGATTGGAAATATATCCAAGCACAAGTTCTTGGAAGTGATGAAAACACTTTGGAAAGAAGTAACATCACAACGGGAACAGACGACTCTAAGAATTTTCCTTTCTATTGCTTTCATGAGAACCCATTTTATGTTAGAGGAAGGAAATCTCGAAGAGAGTTAGAAGCTAGTTATGGTGCCTGCCAAATTGACCACGACTTGATGAAGAAATACTTTGTGAATGAGCACATTCTCAAGGCAACCATGTTTTCTTGCTCATCCATCAAGTTATTGAACTCGATCAGAGAAGAGGCAGAGTTTTATTGCATTCCCTCTCTGGCTTCTTATTTGGAAACGAAAATCAAATCATTATTCAACCCATTCGATTTAAATTATCAGCGTGGAGGAACCGAGCAAGACTCACAACACATTTCGAGCTCTCAAGTCATTGCTACACCATCATCTGCATTCCCATTGCCTCCTAAAATGACCGAGCGGGTGGATACTGAGTACTTGGCGACACTATTGCCTCCTCGTGACAATGTTGACGCGGGTAGTAGACATCAAATTCTGCTTCAACAATTGTCACAAACTAGTATTCAGTTCAGCATGAACCAAAGCTCCATCTTGGTGCCAATGAGATCTCTTTTAAAATTTAAGCATTCCAAATTTCTCGTTCTTGCACTTTCTAATGCCATGAAACATATGAAAGAAGGAAACTCAGCCTCTCCACCTGTTGTGTCATTAATTGCCAATGTTGAAATTTTATACATGCTCAAGTTCATAAAATATGGAAGGCTAGATTTGGAAGAGTTGAATTGGGCACAGGAACATGACTCTCTCGTGAATGAAACTTGCAAAGAGTACAATTTACCAGAGTTTTTCCAATATATTCATCATTGCTACATTACGGACGATTATTTGAGAGAATTAATTGGAGAAACCAATTGGAAGATGCGTGAAGAAGAGGAGTCATTACGAGAAGCGTTTGTCGTCCTCAGAGAAAATCCAAAATTTTTGGAAGAAAGCAAGAAGATATTGATTAATGTTTTTGACCAATTGGAAAGTTTTTCTCCTTCCCCAACTATTGATGCTCCTGAAAGCAGTCTCTTGTTTAATTTTGAGAATCCTTTCAATTGCTTTAATGGACGCCATAATGCTCTCTCGAGACCTGAAATTGTCACTTGCAGAGAGGAGTTTATCTATAACTTTAATTTATTCACAAAAAATTTGCTAAATGGTTTAGATTATTCCAACGTATGTTTGGCAGGCGGTTCCGTGCTCTGTACCATGCTGAGAGCTCCTACAAACCAGAAAATTTGTGAGCACAAAGTTATGCCACATCGTGCCTTCAGTTATCGAGGTATGTATCATACTATTCTGCATCTCAAAAAAACGTGACATTCCTGTCTTCAATTATACTTGTTGCCACAACTTTGAACATATGCTCAAGATTTGGAATTTGAAAAATTGGATACCAAAATCAAAAGCAGTCCTATGTATAAGGATGACAAACTTGACGATCCCAATGAAAACATGGCCTTTTACTATGAACGCTTTAATTCTAAATACAGTTATAGAACTTCTGACGTAGACATGTTTTTGTATGGTCTCAACGAAGAACAAGCATTGGAGAAGATTAAGCACATCATTGAGGTCATTAAGAAAAACACTAAGGATGATCAGGTATTTCTCATTCGAAGTGGTCAATCTATCACTATAAGAACTTCGAACTCTATTCGTGCTTTCCAAATTATTTTGAGATTATATTCTTCAATTGAAGAGGTTTTGTGTGGCTTTGATGTAGATTCGTGTTGTTTTGCGTTCGATGGAGTGAATGTGTTGACCACCCCAAGAGGTAGAAGATCCATAATTTATCGTTATAACATGGTGGACACTTCACGACAATCCTATACCTATGAAAAAAGATTATACAAGTATGCATGTAGAGGTTTTCGAATTTATGTTCCAAATTATAATAGAAATTATGTGAAAAGAGAAGGACTACTTCATCCCTTGCAAGAAAAATATTATTTGAAAGCTCAGAGAATTCCAAATCCATCTGCTGAAAATTGTAGAGGTCTTGCTTATTTATTATTGCAAGAGAGACGACATTATTCATCAATTTATTCAAACTTTGCATTTGCAAGTGCACTACACTTTCACAACAAGATGGATCGCAAACTAAAAGATACAGAAAAAGACAAGGACCTATTCAAACATGATTGCGATTATTCTACAGGTAGAAGTTTTATTAATACGGCTCGTCTGGATGTACATGGAATGGCTCTTCGATATCAAAAAATGGAACAATTATTTGTGAATGGAACACTACATCGTGAACAATTTCCAAATCCTTCCAGTTTTAACGCAGTTTATGGTGTGAATGATGTTACGAAAATTTTACAAAGAGTTGAACCCATGCCACTCCAATTTGTCACCATTAACCCAGGACGACAAGATAAAATAGGAAGCTTCCATCCACACAACAGAAACTTTTATGAGGATGCCTATTGTTGTTATCACACCATTCTCGAGAAGAAAATGAATGACAAAGAAGGGCAAGAAAAGGGTGATTTTATTCTTGCACCACATTATTGGGTCAAAGATAAATACGATCATGTTTGGTATTGGGAGAGCGAATATGACCAAGATTCAGTGGAAGAGGATTATCAAAAGTTTTTATCCGAGGGTGGAACATCAACCAAATCGGATTGTGGCATTGATTTTATGAAATGGAGGAAATATGGTAAGGCTGACGTGAAACGTGATATCATTTTCAAGTATGCGGTTTAAGAGAGTTATTTGAAAAGAAATTCCAACCTTCACAAGCAACCCATTTCTGAAGACGTTATTTGTTAACCCACTCAAGCTTCGTTTGATCAATTAAAAAAAATCAATTATTAACAAGCACCGTTTCTGAAGACATAGAAAGTTAGATTTTAATCTTGATTAGTGATGATGTTATTTACATGAAGATACCTGTACATGATAATTTCTTGAACTCGAAGTTTCATCATTGTTCATGAATGGAGCAATTTTGGATTTGATAGAACCACCAAAACTAACACACGTTCCGTTTTGGCTCGTAACAACACCATAGTGTGCACTGGAGAGCGAACAGTTATAGGTGACACATGTGGAATTGTTGCTCACCAAAATACAACATGATCCTCCTTGCAAATCATTATCTACAAACGTTTCAGGGTCTGTAAAATCTTCAAAGGTAATTTCACACTCATCGAGAAAAAGACTTCCATTCTCGACATGAATGGCACATGGAATTCGAAAGTCCTTATTGCTCGATTTTCCATTCGATGAGGTCTTTCCGTTCATGTATCTGTTTTTCATTTCAATTTGCTCATTGGACAACTCGGAAATAATTCGAAGTTTCAATTTTCTGAAACGAACATTTTCACTATTAATTCGAATCATGGGTTCACAGAATTTTGATGAATGCATTTCAATAATGCAATTTTCAAAAATAGCTCCATGAATTTCTAAGGGTTGAGAAACGACCAATGTTTGACACTCGGTATAAATTCCAGGTAAAATATACAATTTGATTGGAACCAATTCTGCTTGAAGAGAATTTTCAGTAGCCAAGAATGCAAACTTTTCACTGTAGGAACCTTTAAATGTGATCGATTCTCGTTTTTTCGACTTTTTCAAGAGTGCAACAACTTTTTCATCTTCCTTTCTTCTTTGAATTTCATCGAAAATGGTTTCGGAAATGATGGAAATGGGTTGAGCTTCAATATTGTCCATCGACTGATGTCGAGACGAATCCGTTTCTGAATTGTTATTATTCGCAGAACTATTCTCAGAAATGATACTTTCCAAAGAGGGCAATAAACTACGAGCACTGTCAGCATTGAGTGAGGAACCGCCACTTTCGATCATGTCATCTGAAGCGGTCGAAGTGGCATCGTCAAAGTCAGAATGCCCAATTTTCACAAAATGTGACAACTCTCCCATTACATTAAGGATTGATTCGAATAAGAATAACACCCATTCATCACAATCATCTTGAGTTTTGGCATAAATGGTATAGGTTCGAGAAGGTGTTCGAATTTCAAAGGCAAACCAAGTTTTTTGAAAATCATTGTCGAAAGGTTCTTCTGGAATGATAAATTGACCATTCGAAATGGATGATAGAGACCATCTCTTATCGACAGTACTGCGTCGAAGCGAGCTTACTGATCTCGATCGATCTCGTGAAGTTCCCGACTCTTCAATTTCATGCAATAAATCTTCAGCGTTTTTAACTTTCTTCTTTTTCTTTGCTGGATTTTGTTTAAACTGAATGGTTGAATTGTAAAATGTGACAACTCCTTGAGCAATCATATTCTGCAGTTTTGCATCCAATTCGGAAATATTGACCATGTCTTGTACATGGTTGGAATTACTACTTTGATTCGTGTCACTCTCCTTTTTAGGTTTATAATAATAAAGCATATCGTTTCGCAACACAAAAAATCGTTGTTTCCACGATGCTTTCAATTTTCCTCCTGATTTAATCATCCATCCCAATTTTTTCGATCCACCATGTTTCGAAAATGAGTTTTTGGAATTGGACTCTAAATTGTCTCCATTCGCTACTTGTGTGATAAATTGTGACCATTGTTGCACAATTTTCAAATCTGCATTCAATAACCAAAACGATCGAAAGGGTGTCTTGACCACGAGCAATACAACCACACGGTCTGAATTACCCCCCCTGCGCAATCAAGAGGGGTACTCAACTGTCACAGCGCAGCTGGCTCGCAAAAAATTTTTTAATTTCTTGGTGTAAGGAATTACTTCGCGCAACCTTTTCTCAAGAAATTTGTGAAGAGTGGTTGTATTGGAATAGTAATCAGATTGTCCATTTTCGGAAGGTGGTTTTTTTCCATTTTTGAGAGTGTCTTCAGGATTGCAAATTTCAACGGAGGAATCTTTCAAGATGATGGCACCTTTTGGTTCCTTATCTTGTTCAGAGGCATAGTAGTAGAGAGTATTTTCGAAAATGACAAAGAGACGTTTTTTCCATCTACATGTCAATTGTATTATGAATCACACCCAAAATGAGTAGTGCACAGAATTGTGTACAATTGGTCATATCATCATCATCATGTGTGTACACAGATTCCAAAGTGTGTGCCCCATGTATAGAATTGTCAATTCCGATCCAATTCGATCGGATCATCCAATTAAAAAAAATTCATATGATTTGAACAAGATGTTTAAAAAACGTACGACTTGATTCTTCCACCCTGTTTCCAAAACCATTCCTTTTTCAATTCAGAGTTTTGTGCAGTCTGAAGAGAAAAGAAGGAAATCTGAAAGTATTGTTTTTTTTGATGTCAAGTCCAAGAATTATACAAAATGATGATGATGAAAACAAATGTTATTTTGAAAATGTAAGAAGGACTATTGGAATGATGGAATGAACTCAACAACCAACCTTTCGATGACGACCTGTTTTGCCCATGAATAAGTTTTTTGGTTTTTTTTGAAGTGTTTGACAAGAGACAACTCGCCTGAAGAGATAAAAAAGGAACCTTTTTCATGGTTACATATGATGGCAAAGGTTCGGTATGATGGAAATTTCAATAAGGAAGTGAGGTTAATGTTTTTCTAATGCATTGTATAAATCATCATCTACAAGGAAGGATAATCAATTATTGTATATTCAAGGAAGAACCAATAATAGAGTCTTTGATCCTTATTCATTATTGGATGATCATGATCACCATTATGTAATTCTTTTTCAATTTTTGAAAAACCCAAACGACTCCTGTCATGAGAATTTCAATAATTCATGAAAAAATCATCTTGTCGGAACGAATGAATGAATCATCCTTTCATCAACGAGGACATCAAGTCCCAAGAGCTGATAATTCCTCATATTCATCCCGACAAATCACCACCATCATGATGAACAAGAAGACTCTAATTTTTTTCATCATGATGATGATGATCTTCGTATTGAATTTTGTGGAGGAGGAAATTCAATTAGTTTCTTCGTACGTGTTCACGTGATATTAGGATCGTATTTATTGAGAATGATTTCAATTATTATGTATTTCAATATATTTGAATGATGATCAATCTTATTAGGCTTAACATTCCATTCAACGGAATTTCTAATGATTTAAAACATTTCATACAACAAGAACATCAATCATTCCGTTACCCCAACTACAATGATAATAATAATAATAATAACAATGATGATTGGAAAGAACGAATGGCACAGGCTCAACTCTTAGCCACTCCCTCCGAACCCAACGATCCCAATTATCTTCCATCCATTTCCAATGGTTATATTGGAACGGTCATTGATAGTGCCGATGTCTTTATGGGTGGAGTGTATGTGGGACAGCAAGTCATTCTCGATCAATTGATTGGTTTTCATTCGAGAAGAGCCCGAATTCCATCCATGATGAACATTCATGTCAAGTTGAATGAAAGTGAAATGGATGGAACGGTTACATTGAAAGGAGTTGGATCAGCATTGGATATGGAACGGGCCATGTATTTGAGAAGATTTGTTGGAATTTCTACAGAACTGGAGGATTTAAAAGTCGAGCAACGATATTATGCTCATCGTGTGTTTCGATCATTGCTGGTACATCAATTAGATGTCGATAATAGGAATGGAAGAAATAATGTTCAGATTGGACTCATGCAAGTGGTGACACCACCAAGTAAGGATATTTCATTTAGTGAGGTGAAATGTCCAATTTCATGGCCGAATATCATGTGTCAAGTTGGAGAGCTCGTTGAATTGGAGACACCAGAATCGGAACGTGTGAAAGTTGCATTTGTGACATCGATAATTTCATCTTCTTTGCCTATACAGGTAAAGGCAAATTCGAGAAGCATTTTCACACATATCACTGCCATTCGATCGACGATTGATTCTGTGGATCCTCTGTTAGAAGCAGCAACAGATTTTATGAAAGGAATTTCAATGGACCCACAAGAATTAATGAATAATCACACTCGAGAATGGGCCGAATTGTGGAAGAGTGGAATTGAGTTAGGTGGAAATGTCTCACTGGCTGCAATGGTCAATAGCACATTGTATTACATGTTAAGTGCTACACGGAAGGATTATCATTGGGGAATATCACCTGGAGGAGGTATGTAGACTTTGATGGTATTGTCATACATCTTATTTTCACACGTTTACATTGAAACGAATATTCATCGAATTTTCAAATCGTTGATTACTTTGGTAACAATTACATGCATGTAACATGAAATATAATTGTGAAATATAACATTGCCCATAGTTGCAACTAATTCATATAATGGGCTCATGTTTTGGGATCAAGAATGCTTTGTATTACCTTCCCTCGTTTACTTGTATCCAGAGTTGGCTCATGGTCTCATTGAGTACAGATTTGAGAGACTTCAGCAAGCCCTACACCATGCTCAAAGATATGGTTATGCTGGTGCCATGTATCCTTTCCAATCAGGTAAGTGGAGGATATCCTATGGAAATATGTTAACGTAGTGAAATTTGTCCATATTATTTCTATCATTACTACAACATGCAATATTTGAAAAATTCTTGATATTAGGATACAGTGGAAGAGAAGTAGATTTAATTGCACTATTTAATGAATTGGAACAGCACATCACAGGAGACATTGCTTTTGCTCTTCAATTGTATTGGCAATTGACCAAAGATTTGAATTGGCTTTCCACACGTGGCTATCCAATTGCTTCTGAAATTGCAAAATTCTGGGCAAGTCGTGTCACTCGAAACACGTTTGGACTCTACGAGATTCATAGAGTGGTTGGACCGGATGAATTTGGAATTGGTTTTCCATGGTACAGTGGTGTGGATAATAATGTCTTTACCAATGCTGTTGCTCAAATTTCACTTCGATTTGCAAATAAGGCAGCACGTGCTCTTGGAAAGCAAGACACTCCATTATTTGATGCAATTGCAAATAACATGACCATTCTGTTCGATGAAGTCAATCAGATTCATCCAGAATATGATGGCTTTCCAAAGGGAAATATTTATTTCATGGAGTATGTCAAACAAGCAGATGTCGTCTTGCTAGGTATGTATATATCATTCAAGAATGAGATGATGACACAAACTCGTTTCACAATGTTGTGATTTCAAAATTCATAATTTTCAATGGAACTGTACATGGCGTGAACAAACAGGATATCCTCTCATGTTCCCAATGCCACCCCATGTCAGATACAATGACATTCGATATTATGAAAAATATATGTGGTCAGAAGGACCTGCAATGACCTATTCCATGCACACGATAACCTATTTGGGTAAGTGTTCAATATGATTGTCTAGTTTTTGATACATGGCTGCTGTATGTGACATTTTATGACAGATTTGAAAAATTATTCATTGGCTGGAGAAGCCTTCAGAAGATCTCTTCTTAATATTCATCCTCCATTTAACATCATTTCAGAGACACCAGATCCTTATAAACATTTTCTAGATATGGGATCTTTTAACTTTTTAACTGGAGCAGGTGGATTTTTACAGAGTGTTCAAAATGGTTATGGAGGTTTAAAAGCCTACGATGATTACTTGTTACTAAATCCACAACCATTCACTCAACTCAATGTGACAACAATGAAATTACGAGGCGTACATTATGTAGGAGGAAAATTTGATTTATGGTTTGATGGAACAAAGGCAACCATTACAGTGTCACAATTACCAACCCATCGATCCTCCTTCACCATTGAAGATTCTTTTGATCTAAGAAGCAAATTGTTGTGAATCAACAAGTTTCCTTTATTCCTCCAGCAAAGATTTTTTAATGGTAGTCCTTACATTGAGAATTCAATGGATCAACTTGATTGTATAAGGCTTCTTTTTTTAATGAGCCAATTCAGGAATGAAGATCTTTTTCTCGTAAGAATTTGAAATTTGAAATTTTTCAAAAACAAAAGAAAAATATTTTTTCACACTCAACCATTTTTCCGATTTTCATCACAACGCCTGAATTAAAATTATTGTTGGATCAAGGCACTATAATATATTATGAGATTTACCAAACGAGATATTTCTCGGCTTCTCTTCAAGAACGTTTCTCCCTTTAAGCTCATTCTTCATGGAATTTGTATCGGGATTTGTTTATTGCCTGCCATTGCAGTGCTCATTGTCGGATTGGTAGTTTTTATGACATCGCCGAGTGATAATATCACCTCTCCAGCCACATGCATCATTCTTTCTAAATTACAATGTATTACCAATAACAAGAACAACAATCTGGTTCATCATCACGAGAGGAGAGTCATTCATTCTCATCACCATCAAGAAGAAGAAATTCATACATTTTCATCATCATCAGAACGAAAATTATTGGCTCAACCACACCACAAGGCTTCTTCCCTCTCTCAATCATCATCATCATTGTTCGTACACTCCTCTCATTC